CGCGGGGCGCGCTCCGGGCAGTCGCGACGCGGCTTCCTTGGCGGAGGAAACGGAAATCTAAGGGAGGGAAGCAGCCGGCTCCGGGTCAAGCTGCGCCGGGGGCGGCTTTCGGGGGCTGCCCGGTGGGATCCCAGGGCGCCCTCAACTCGGGGCCCGAGGCGGGGAAACAAAAGGGTGCTCCCCGGTCGGCCGAGCGCTCGTGCCCCGCGGGACCTCCGTGTAGACACACGGAAAGCGAGGGCTCTTCTCGGTTTTGCTTTTGTTTTATTTTTCTTACTACTCTAAACGCTAAACCTTGTGAACCCGCCGGATTCGAACCCCGGCGAAGACCAAAGATCTTTTGTATATCTGCAGTCAGACGCTAAAGTTCAAACTAGTGCTCTCTCCGAGAAGTGGTTTTGGTGGTACATTAGTGATTTTTTTTTTTTTTTTGCATTTAAAAATTTCCATTTTAGGCCGGGCGTGGTGGCGCACGCCTGTAATCCCTGTACTCGGGAGGCTGAGGCAGGATTGTTGCTAGTTTGAGACCAGCCTGGGCAACAGAGTGAGTTCAAGGCCATCTTGAACTGCATAGCGAGACCCTGTCGCAAAAAGACAAAAAACAAAGAAAAAAACTTACATTTTAGATTTTTAATCTTTAAAAAACAGATATTTAATCTTAGGTCCTGTTAATCGCTTTAACAGAATCTGTGCTACGCGGATATATAAAATTATTTTACAAAATATAAACACACCCCTCCACAGCCCCAGAGTGCCGGAGGTAGGCAGATTGCAAATTCGAGTCCTGCCTGGGGAATTTCACAAAATAGAAAAAATTTTAAAAGGGTTAGATGAAACTCAGTGAAAAGGCCTTGGGGTCAGTCCTCAATACAGCTAGGCGGGGGTGTTGGGGACCCGAACTGAAAAATAAACTAGGGGTGTTCTTTTCACCTGCCGTTTGTGTTGAAAGTAAAAAGACCTGTGACTTCCATGTTTGCGGTCTTTAAATCTACTTAGTAGATATCCGCATCTAGCTGGGTGTGGTAGCAGGGGCCTGATCCCATCACTCTGCAGGGTGAGGCTGAGTCAGGAGGATGACTGGAGGGTGAATTACATAGTGAGTTCAAGGCCAGCCTGAAGGATATAGCCAGACCGTGTCTCAACAAACAAAATTGAAAATGAGAACATACAAAACTATGAGCCACTTTGTTCCAGTTAAGTATGCAAATACCACAAATTGAACATATATCTTAAATACCCTTAGTCAAATATGATTAGTGCTCCTGAAGTTTTCGTGAGTAGAACTATAAGGTATTTATTTCAAGTATTTCCAGCCAGGTGTGGTGGCACACGCCTATGATCGCAGCACTTGGGAGGCTGAGGCAGGAGTATCATTTCAAGTTCAAGGCCAGCCTGGGCT